GACAACAAAATAGCAGAGATAAAGCTACCGTGCTAAACATAGCTACTGTTGCGTTTTGAATAGGTTTTCTGTCAGTAAATCATATATATGAGTTATGTTCACTATTTTATTAAAGGTGATGAAGGACTAGTTGAATTTTCCCACAATCATATGGGTAAACATATAGCTTCAATTGAATTTTACATAGCCTTGAAAATATCTTCTGGAAAAGCAAGGCTATGTGAAATTCAATGGTAACTTCAAGACTATTGATGCCATTGTGGGAAAATTCAACTACCAGTCCTTAGGGTGAACATTGGACATAAAGCCACTTTGATAAGTTGTAACTATGTGCCTAAGGTGGCGCCCTCCCTGACGATGCCGACTACGATGCTGGCGAAACGTTTGGGAATGTACCCAGCCAATAGTCCAGTACTGGAAATCACGAATACTATGGCAGAGGACACCGGACTAGGTACATTCCACGAGATCTCCCTGACGCTCTGACCAAGTTGCGAAAACAAGATCGAAACAACACCATAAATCTACTGTTTGCCTGACATGAAGGTATTAAACTAAACAGCTCTACTCATATCATGGTGGGAAAATTCTACTACCAGTCCCTCATCACCTTGAACAAAATAGGTGAATACATCGCATATAACTGATTTACTGGTAGTCTCGAAACTCTACGAAAAATAAAACATGAATGAGCGTTTAAAGGTGATCCCAACAGCAAAACGCTAATGACACCCAAGGCCGGTAAATGATTCAATCCTATAATTGCTGGAAGGTAGTAAAGATGCCAACAATATGGTACGAAGTGAAGACGAAGCCACAGTATTTGTCTCAATTTTAATGCACTCCATTCACTCATTTTCATTGACAAACGAGATGGTGGCTAAATAAAATCGTCAGCTGCTTCCTTCCGCCCAAGTGATCCAGGCAGGCTATGCAGGTGATATGTGTGTGAAGTAGACGAATGGGACGACAAGGATGGAGCAGCCCCGCATCATGGGTCCACCGCAGCACCTCAGTTTGCCCAGTGCTCGCTAGTTCAGCTCCGAGACTTGGAGCAGAAGGAAGAAGGGGAATAGAGGCTTCCTCGGTGTCTGCAATCCCTGTCTCCCATCTGGTTCGCCCCTAGTTTACGATTACTAGACAACGCAGGGAGAACCAGTCTGACAAACATCTGTTTGTACCTCGATTGTGGCACAACGGATGTGCCTGTGATCCCCGTTGTGTTGTCTCGTCATTATGCATTACCATCAAGTGTGCATCATATATATGTGTGCGTGTGTGTCTTATGTGAATGTGTGTGGTCATATTTGTCTTTAAGCATCTGCCTCTGCGTTCACATATGTGCACCCAGTGTAAATCTGTGCACGAAAAGGGATAGATCCCATGTGATTCAGATTATTTCTATGTGTGCGCCTTCAACATGTGCACATGCATGCAAAGCTGAACCTGCGTTGCGTTAGCACCAGGCCACCTTCACGCCTGGAAAAAGGGTACATCTGCCCAAAAGCTCATGACAACCTGGGCAAATGAAGTCCGGCTACAAACAGCACCTCAAATGGATGCTAGTCTCTGGTAAAGGTCGCCCGGCCGATCTATCAGCCAGGCAATCAATCCCGAACAGGTCAGTTCGCAGCGGTGCTGACAACAGAAGAACTGGTTCAAGACACAAGCCAACGTAAGTATGCAGTCTGTTTTAGCCGGAAAAAATTGAGTTCGAATAGACCAGACCCGGCGGAAAGTGTGCGCATGTGTGTGTGTGTGTGTGTTGACCGAAAGTTGATTAATTTAGGCCGTACAGTAAGTACGAAGCTGCGGCAATGCTTTACCAAAGGAGATAAAAACGGGATTAAGTGGTATGTAAGAGCAAACAGTAAACAGAACCTGAGGCTCAATCCACAACGCGTAGCTTTGTCGGCTGCTTCTAGAGACATATTAAAGAACCAGTAGAGCTAGATTTTCGAGGCCAGAAGTGGTACCGAAAGTCACTGTCAGCAGTTCTCGTGTACAGTAAAGAGGACCGGACCGGACCGGAGCAGATAAGACATGATGCCAACAGACGAGACTAGGATGCGAAGGCTGGTCGTTAGCGTCGTCAAGTTGGTTTCTGTATAAGAAACGACTCCTCAAGAGAGACCACATGAATATCAGAAAGATACGGGTTAGGCTAACGGCAGGGGCGTAGCAGTGGGAAAATTGTGTCCTACTGTCCAAGTTGGCTTGGATTGCGAACGAGACCGATGTTACCAAATGGAAGAAGACAAACTGGTGGTTCACTCGATAGCATCTACAGTGAGGTGTAAAGGGCCGAGGGTAAACAGAAACCTTCTTGTTAGAAGCCATTTTAACGGGCATAGACTCGGATGATTAGGTTGCCTAATGAAGGCAGACACGTACATATGAAAGTCCAGCTGCATGCTACGTTCTGAGGAACCATAAAAAGTATCACATCCACGGTCCAAATTTGGAAATAATGATTCATACAATGGACTCCGGACTAGGTACGTTCCTCTAAGTCTTCCTACCAATGTGACCAAGTTGCGAAAACAAGGTCAAACAACTTCCATAAAAAGTATGTTTATCCTCCGCTGGAGTCCAGTGGTCCAATGTAGGGAGAGGCGAGCCAACAAGCAGTAGCAAGAGCATCCCAAGGCATGGCCACATGCATAGACTGGGCGAAAAAGTCACCAGCTCTGCACGTAGAAGCCATCGTAGGCTGTGGACTGACTGAAAAGTTAATTAGCCCCCGGATCGCAAAAACACGCTGCAAATGGAGGCTTAAGTCCTTCGGTCTAAAGTATACTTGGCACATTTGGACTTTTCAGAAAAGAGGAAGGCGACGCAAAAACAGGCTCTACCTGAATCGAACCTGGGTGAGTTGTTAATAGCCGCGAGGTGATGCAATTCTGTCCAGATCTACGTGAGCTTCCATAAGGAAGGGGATGCAGATGGAAGATGGGATGAAGCGTAATTCCGATGTCGGCGTTATCATGTTGCACGGAACCATGTTTTGTCTGCTCATATCCGTTCAAGGCTCTTCGGTGTGCGCAGTCAATGACCGGGCACAGGTGACTAAGGGTGATTTTATCTGCCGCCTTGAGATTCCTAGCTAAGAGGAGGCAGTTAACCGCTCATGGGAGCCTGCAGTTTACACCAGAACTTCGCGCCCAATCGGATAGGTCGGGAGACACCTCGGTAGACTAGACACCAGATCTTGTAAAAACAAAATTGGCGGGCTGATCGAAG